AGGAAAGAATACTGAGAAAATGAGCTGACATTTACAACGATACCTTGGTAGTTGAACGAATTATCACCGTCATAACATGCTTTTATAAATTCAATTCTCAATCAACCATTGAAGAGTGCCAACAACGCACTGATGGCAGGTGGATGTATCGGTCCTTGGTTGGAATCCTTCTTGGCTCACTAAACCTTTCTTTCATATAAGATCGGCAATACAGCGTCTCTGGGAAAACAGCAGATCTGAACTGATACATTCGTAGACTACCGTGAATTCTTATCAACATGGGTGCCTAATTTGCTCATTTATCTCGTAGATTGTCATGACGAGGAAGCTTAAGATCCTTTATGGTCCACACCACTTGCCTTAGTCTCGTTTTCGCTGCTTATTCTTGCAGTGTAGTCGACCGTTCCAAGTTTCTCGCGAACTTGATCCATTAATTCAAGTTTACTTTGAAATTCATTTACGAATGCTGAATGCTTGTTAAGGGGCGCCGTGGCCGAGTAGTTATGATGCTCGTCGCTGGGAGCGTGGACCGAACTCCACCCTCCAGCGCTCTCTGGCAATCATCAACGAGCAACCTATGGCACGGCACAGCCAGGCTATCTCTGAGATTTCAGAGAAGATCGCTCAATCAGTGTATCACGTGTATCACGACATGCAAGAAGAAAACGAAAAAGCGAATCAAATGCCAGATGTATTGGAATCCGCACAGTGAAAAGAAACTTGTGAAGACTGGTCAATAAAGTGTCTAAAAAATTGTGCGAATTTCAACGCTCAAGTTTCAAGTAACAGCTCAAGTTCAGGAATGGTCTCGAATCGTTTGTCTGGAAATGCTGGCAGAGTGCTAAACAGTCGTCCTACGGATTATACCCTGCCGGGTCGAATACGGTAAGTAATCGATAGCTTTTTCAAAAAATCTCAAGTGGTTCATACTTCTCCCTTCCATCCATTAAATTCTCCACTCAATCGTTCTCAAAGCTTTTTCTAATAGAGGTGGAAGCATAACGTTATCAGCTTGATCGAAGTTCCGTTCCGCTCTTTCAATGCCATTTCCGTGGCTGAAAAGAAAGCATGTGCTAAATCATTTTTGTGTTTTCTATAGTTCTCCTCAAAGATTCCCTTTTCTGATCCATTTGCAATTCTGGAGACTTATAATGACGATGACAAAACAAAGGTTTACTAGAAATCTTCTCTCAACAAAGCGTTTTGTATCCAAGCAAGTTCCCGAACCGTTGCAGTATGACGGCGAAGTTTTACGCTCAAATTGTCCTCACCCTACCAGTCCTTTTTCTTTAAGAGAGCAATGAGGAATTTGCATCGTTGAGTTATTAATATGTCAGCACTCAAACTAGACTTTGATCCATCAACGGTAGAGAAGTCCTGTAGATTATCATGACATTTTATTATATTGGCAGTTGTTCCGGCAATTTCACCTTTTTCATAGCCTGGAAGAATCATATTGAAACCGAAACGGGATCTTCTTTTTCAAACACTACAGTAACTTAAGCCGAGAAAATTTAACACGTTAATCTTTTATCAAGATAATAAACAGCTTCTTTTATACTCACAGCCCTGCTCTTTATTAACTTTAACACTCTCATATCCACGTGAAACTCGTAGATATTACTTTCAGACTTTTCGTTTTATACATGCTGACTTCAGATCCTGCAAAATTAATGAGCACAACATTTGATTCTTCAAACCAGTTTTTTCCAGGTGAAGACCAAGCTTTTGCAGGATTTAGTCAGGAGTCCAACGAGGATCAAGTTCCAGGACCAACATCATGCCAACTAGTCAAACACTCTTTTTAACGTGGATTTCATGGCATTACTAATGCTTCTCAGGTCCACGCCAGTTTCCATATGGGTGTGGAGACAGCTAGCACACAGAATTTCACTATAACCACTACAACTGTTTTAGCAGAGTAACATTAGGGAGTCTATTGAATTCTTGGGTACCACCAAAATAGTGCTGATTATAGATTTTCGCACTATTGAGCCAGATGAAATATGTCCAATAATGCTGAGTGATATACAAAAGCGATACATTGGGCGCCGAGAGTTGAACCCTCGTAATGCCCTTGCGTGGGCGCATATTGATCTTGCACTATCAGCGCTTCCATCCTGATATCGCCCTTCCCTGCTATTCAACGATAATTGGATAAATTCGGGGATTCTACCTATCATCTCGTGTGTGCTATATGAATTCTTCCTACTTTGGAGTATGTATACTCATTGTGGTTCTTTTTAATTAGAGGGGTACAAATGAAAAGCCGACCTCATTCGCTGGAGAGGAACTCTTCATAGAAGTGTTGGTAACCATTCGAAAGCTGAGATTTCTTGCTACAGCTCCACTTCGCCGGTTTTCCAAAACACCCTTCTATAACACTGTAATCTTCACAAAAAACTAGCGCATTTTTCACGTCGGACAGAGCTCTTCTTTGGGACTATTAGTAATCATAAGATAGCGTAGTGCTTCCTTATGTCATTGCTGCACTTATATCCTGAAAAGACCGTTTCTCTGCACCGCATCAGGTAAAATAAGTTGAATTCGATGTGTAAGAATGGACGATCTAAAGCCGATACACGTAGCGGTGGGTGTAGTGGTCACGTGACGCTGACGTAGTACGCGCCTTTTACGCTTTCATAGAACCGTTCACTGGCCTCCGCGAGCCAGCGCCCACGTGAATCGCGCGGGACGCCGTTGGTCTCACGTAGGAATCTGGCTTATTAGAACTTGCGTTGCAATTTATTTTACGTGCTGCGTTCCAGAGAAACGGTCTTTTCAGGACTCAAGAAAAGCGTTAGAATCAATTTCATCTATGCAATTGAATGATTACTAATAGCCCAAAGAAAGAGCTCTGCCCGGTGAGAAATATCCGTGTCTGCAGCCAAGAAATCTCTTCCTGAAGAAGCGTCAAAAAAGTCTTCTCGAGAGCCAGCGACGTGAAACTGTAGCTTCAAGTCTCAGCTTTCGAATGGCTACTACCACTCCTATGAAAAGCTCCTCTCCAGCAAACATTTAAAAAAGAACCATAATGCAACTCAAGTACACTCATTCAACTGAGTAACCTGGTAGTATACCTTAGTTGATCGTTGCAGGACCACCACTCGCAAGATTATGACTATCACGGGTTACTGAAGGTGAGCACATTTGCGCTGTTGGGCTGTCATTAATGATGCTTCTCTTGTCTTGTGTTCATCAACATGTCATTGTCGTTCCACGCGGTCTGCTTCCGTATCGGTTTTCTTGTTCTGCTGATGTCTTTTTTCTTTTCCATACTTATTTTTTCAAGAAGTTTTTTCTTCATACTCACTTTTTCGTTCATTTTGTCGGCACAAAACTCTACGACATTAGTGATAGGCCAGCTCACGATAATGTGGGAGAGTGTTAGCATACTGTTCTTGTAATAATCAGAGTACTTATCCAAGATTATTCCAGTTGAACATCAACCTAAATTTTCTCCAAAGTTCTGAGCGCAAAATTTCCTCCGGTCAAAACTGTTTTTGACTTGACGTTGTAAGTTATACACTTGTATTTATTATTATCCTCCACAAACTTCAGCCGTATTTCCCTTATTCAATCTTCAATAAATGTCATCATAATCGCGCTTATCAATCAAATGGAAATAAAAGATGAAAACAATGTTATCGAGTCGTTTCAATTTGATTTTGAATTGCAGAGGAGAAAGGGCAGGGGAGGAGACTGGCACGATTCGGGCCCTTAAAAACGTAAGAAATCCGGATGACATTGTTTTCATACAGTCTGAGAATAGATAAATAAAAGTAACCATAGGTAAACTAGCCTAGATAGATTTTCTAGCCATCGAAACGCTTAGTTCGGGTGGTAAGACGTTGAGTGTTGTACTAGCACATTGGTTCAAAATTTCATTCTTCGCCACCACCTATCTGTAGAAATGATGCATATCGTTGTACGCAAAGAAATTTTATTTGCCATTTGCAGAGTACTTTTAATTCTAAATGATATTAATATATCTGGTTAACTCATATCAAACTAAAAATAATGTCGATCATTCAACTCTAAACGATTTATGGCATTTTGTTGAAAACCGATGCTGAGGAAATCGACGAAATAAAAGCAGTAGGTCTCTTCTCATTTGTTTTTATATAACTCAGTTTCTAAGGATGTCAATATATGTATATATACATATTTATGCATGTATACATGTATATGTATATGCACACATATGTATATGTATGTTACATATATACAGTAAGTACATGTATGTATGGATATATGTACGCACGTACTTAAGTATGTAGGCATATGTATGTATATTTGTACAGTACATATGTGTACATTTATGGCGCGTGAATTTACTTTGATACGAAGTATTGCTACAAAGAATAGATTCAGTATCGACCGACTTCTGTGGTCTACAAGTTCTTATCATTTCAAGTGCTCTTCAATGAAAATTGCTTTTCTTTGTATTTCTCGAAGAGAATGCTTTATATTACGAGATAAGCTTTGTAGTTTTCAGTCGCGAAATTACTTTCTTTCCTTATAAATTCGATTTGTCTGTGGAATTTCCCATTTGTTTCAGCTGATTCGAATCGATTCGATTTGATTCTGCAGAAGATTCCATGACGTGCACGAGTAGCGAGCTGAACTATCTCAACTTGAGTACCTTCAAGAATCAGGTATTTCAAAGAGTGCTGGCGACGTTTTCCTTTTATCTCGTCTTCAGTAATTCTAATAGTGTCCATCAGTTTATCCTAATAATTTTTAGAAATTTATAAGGAAAGGAGAGTTCATCTGGTTTTCCTCTTCTATTTTTTTTTGTGGAAACAATCAGCTTACTTACCTAGGGCAATGTGGCCAGGTGAATGAATACGGTATATAATTCGTACATCATGAATGAGGGAACCAAAAATGAAATCGTTCCAAGTAAATCAAACGGAAGTCGTATCGTTCCTTGACCAATGAAAGTCATTGATATGTTTCCAAGTATATCTAAGAGAATCGAGTGGTGAGCAAAATTATGATCTCAGGCGGGAGTTGAACCCGCCTTTCACCCATATCGTGGGCGCGTGCTACCACTTCACCACTGTGGCATCCTTTCACATCACTCATTCTTCAATCTCTCTGTCATAGCTACCAGCCATTAACATTTTACAGGTTTAGTCGGATAAGCAGTATCGCTCCATAAACCCAGTTAAGCTCACAGCCATTGTACCTATAAAATTCCAAAATTTCAATGTTTTATTGCTTTTTCTGCCTACCACTCAGTTATCTTAGGTATGCTTGAGACATCATAACACTGCGAACAAAGAGTAAAAACATAAGAATTTGGATTTATTTAAGTACAATATCTGTCAGCTCAACTGGATTTATAAAGCGATATTGCTTACTCGACCAAACTTGCTAAAGGTTGGTGACTGATAGCTATGATAGAGAGACCTTGAAGAATGAGCAACGCTTAGAGGTGGCCTTCGTGGTGTATGGAAAGCAGGTTTAACTCCCGCCTAAGATCGTCTTTTCGCCTACCACTCATTTCTCTTAGGTGTACTTGAAAATTAATAAAGGGAAGCTACAGTTTTTGAAAGCACATGCAATGTTGTTGATATCAGCATTTATTGGATAGAGTATTACATCGCATGTAATAAATGGCTGACAGTGGCTGACGGTACAGCGGTTCTGCCTTCTGCAAGGCCTGGGAAGCTCAAACTGATTCGCAGTCTATTCAGTCGATACATTCTTAACCCTGGCAGAAATAAGTAATAAACAAATTTTGAATAGTATAGTGAAGAGCTTTTTTTATGAAGACAGTCATTGTTTGATTGGCTCAAAACCTTCTAATTAGTCATTGAAGACAAGTAGCTCAGAGTCTTGCATCGAGTAAGAATGTGCCTGGCTTAGGTCAAAGACATTAGCCTGAGGAATGATGCGAGGTTCGCGCGAATTACAAAAAAAAAGGCGCCTCTCTTTGTGATTCATTTTCGAATTTTTAGTATTTTTACTGTGATATAGTGAAATGTTTGTACTTATGAAGTACAATTATTAGCACCTCGCATCGGCTCATCAAAGGGAAACACTGAATCATTCAATCTATGTAGATAACATTTGATGATCGGTCGTCGGAAAAGAATAATTCTCTGAACATGTTGGTTTATCTGAAGAATTTTGCCTTCGTTCGATTGAACCACAAGCCATCATTTTATAAACGGTTGCAATTTTCAGTCACATCAAGCCTTCAGATTCAAAAATTTCAACGGAATTTCACATTAGATCTAAGCTGCGTAGTACAAAAAGACAGCTTTTGATATAGTAAATTTACTTCTGCAATCCAACGTTTCGTCTGGTCAAACGTTTTCTCACGAGAACAGAGATAGTGCGTAAGTACAAATAGCTCTGTACATAACCCGCTTTTGTCGCTAGTGCATAGATCTTGAGGTTCCTTGAATAAAGTACAGAAGCTCTCGGTTTTGATCGATTCCTGAAAGATGCGTTACGCCTTTGGTTGTATAGAGCATTGTTTGAGGTTACTGAATGTGTACCAGGTCTTTACGATGACTTCGGGTAACATACTATTGTATCAGGTCGGTATTATTATCCTCTCAGACAGGTCTGGTGCTAAATTGCCAACACTGGAGTTATGGAAGGCTTGGTGAGTCATGGCAAGTATCAAACCACTGATCACATGTGTGTCGCAGGCATATCTAGCTAGTGCGCCGTACACGCCCTAGAACATCTGACTTGAAATATGGGTATTTGAGAATCCCAAGTAGTTATCCATGTTGAGAAATGATAATCATAGTTCTCATATCTTACGGTATATTTACATTCAGAATTAGCTATAGACATAGTGGGAAATTGTGAATGGTATCTATAAAATGTCGTAATGAAAAGGAAAGCATAGTAATTATGTGATATTCAAGGATTAGAACACTCGGCCTACGTGTTTTTACTACGAATTAGAGTTAAAGAAATCATATATGATGAGTGTGCAAGTACCTTCTGGTGTACTTGTCAGTATAGTTCAGGGTTAGGTTCGTTTCTGTTTGATAGTGCTCAATGCTGGCCAGTGCTTCAGATACTTATCTTTCTTCCAGAGAGGCCTTTATCACATCGAGACGTAAATTCGAAGTTTGAACAAGCTAGAGAACTCTGTTTGCAACAGCAACTAAGCTGCCGGGACGTTGTCGTTGATCGATGGAGGTATTGAAAAACTAAGCATTCCCAATGTTTGTGCATTTGTGTATAAGTTGGTTTACGTCTTGTTAATGATGTAACACTCAAAAAGATTCATGGAGAAGAATCAATGTTCATTAGACAGTTTAGGATAAGATGATAAAATTTATGAAATCTGCTTTTTTTTTCATGAAATCGACTGTTTTTGAAACCTGGTAATGAACATTCAAAATAATTCCGAAAAAAATGAATGTTTCTAGCCTTACGAGGTTGGTACGCCATAGCCATACACCGGTGTTTCGGAGGTTTCGGCCTCCTCGTCAGTGACCCCCGCCCCACATTAAGCCCTGCATTGTAGCAAGGAGGGAGGCGTATGTGGTGTGTGGTCACTGACGAGGAGGCCGAAACCTCCGAATCACCGGTGTATGGCCCTGGCGTACCAACCTCGTTTGGGCTAAAAACATTCATTTTTTTTGGAATTATTTTGGATGTTCAGAGGTTTCAAAACAGTCGATTTTATGGATTGTTTTGGTCTACCAGCCGAACTCCATCGACTGAAAGTGGTGATGGACCAGTGTCATTGTACACTATGCCATCACCACATACCACATACGCCTCCCTCCTTGCTACAATGCAGGGCTTAATGTGGGGCGGGGGTCACTGACGAGGAGGCCGAAACCTCCGAAACACCGGTGTATGGCCCTGGCGTACCAACCTCGTTTAGACTAAAAAACATTCCTTTTTTGATATTATTCTGTTTTTTTATTATAAATAATCAATAAATTGGAATGAGTGGCGGCGCAGTGATCAAAAGTGCCCTGTACTACAAACGTGGGCGATGGCTTGATCCCTCGCCCATGACTCACTAACCTTTCCATCCCTCTCGAGTCGGCGAATTGGTATGCGAGTTGTCTGTGAGGTTAGCATTACTGACTTTGTAAGCCACCCCTAATCATTTCAAAGGCCAAATATGCATTCATTCACATGTAACGATCGATGCTTGATGAAGGTGCAGGAGGATGCATGACACATCCCCCACGAATGGCGAGAGTTTTGTCTTTCATATCTTTTTTGGCACTTTCCCTTTAGACGGCACGGAATGGAGAAACGACCACTCGCGCTGAACAAAGTGTATCTATTGTTTTTCTAGTAATCATTTGAAAGCTCAAATCTCTGCTAGTGCAATACTCTGCCTTCTTTTTTGGTTCAATCTTTTTATAACGTATTCAGCAGAAGGAAAACATTTGTGTTTTCACGCTCGCATATTTCTCGTAGGGCAAAACATCTTGTTTAAATTGTTAGTAAACGATAGGTAACGTAAGTTTCTAACATTCCAACGCTGTACTTAATTTCTGAAAGACCGTTTCACTGCAATGTAGCCGGGAAAATAAGATTGAGTTCACATACGCGGGCATTGTTTTTCGACTAATCTACGCTTTGGGGCAGAACGTCAGAGTGGAGCTGCTTGTGGTCTCCACACGGCGATCGATCGATGGCCTTGAATAGCTCACATGTGATGTCGGTTTTTCTTCAATTAGGACTTTTTCTACGGTTCGAAGGAAACTGCGGATTAAACGTATAACTCTGATACTACAAGATTTTCTGTACACCTTGATATGCTTTTGGTGCTCCCAGCGAAGTGGTAGATGGAGTGCGTGGCCGATATAAAACATAATTTGATTCAATTCTACAGCTTCTATAAAAGGGTCTTTTTAGAAAGCGGCCACGTGCGCACTTGCCAGAGCACTCTTATGAAGAGTTGTTGTTTAGCGAAAGGGGACGTTTCTACATACCGTACCGTCTAATGGAAAGGAGCCTCTTTCTTGTGTTATGAAACTGCCGTTTGCAATTTGTTGAATTGCATCGACCGCACATCATTTTGAGCTCATATAAATGCCGTTCTTTCGTTCGGAAAAGGCAATGCAGAGGAGTGCTAATGACACTGTGACGTAGACGAAAACCAAATTCCCTTCATCTTCAATTTACCAGGCTTAGATATGGTTCATCTACTCGTCAAACATATCCATATCACTGCACAGTTGCACAATTTGACCGTAGTAATCCATCACATCACCATAATTTCTAGATATTTACAATTTCCTATGATGTTAATGATTCGTATTTTCGAGTGACTTCTGAACTTTTTCACGAGATGCGCCAGAAATCAACTGATGGCGGAAGAGATGACGTAATCGCGGTGGTGCTCAAAACAGATTTATCAATTACCATAGAACCAAAATAGTGGCGAGATGAAATTAGGATTGGAATGAAAAATTTTGGTTTCTTCGAACACCACCTGACATGGTTTTTCTAAACAAAACTCGTTTAGTAGGACATTTGAGAAGCGAATTACACGGACTCACGGATTCATCAACGAGTCAAAATAATGTCGACATTTCCAAGGAATTAAACAGTTTCTGCAGTCTACAGTGAATTAAAATTCCGTTCTTGGTACTTCATCATCAGTTTGTTTTTTTAGAGTATCTATAACAGGTTTTTGAAAAATGATAGTGATTCCCTTTTGTTTGATATAGTTAAAGTTTTTATGAGTACCTTTATATGTTCAATGATATAACAAAGCTATGACAGATTTATGAGAAGATAAGGTTATCTAGGAATCATCCTGATCATAACTTTCTTCTAATGGTGTTTGTTCATGTTTTCGAACACTCAAAAGGCACGTGCATACGACAAGAGCACTTATGTTTATACCAGTTCCATTTTCATTCACAAGGAAGACGAGCTTATCCTCATCGCTTGGGCTTATTTCTGTTTGCGATCTACAGAAACATTTGCCAGGATCTTATCTTAGCAACCTTCTACTTTCACTTTCATGTTGTACTTTATTGGTCATTATGGATATTACTTAAACATTACTGGTAGCCGTATCGCGACATAGAGCGCATGTTGCGCAGTAATTAGA